CTGCGTGTCCCTCCTCGCTTCCCCTGGCAGAGGGGGTGTTAAAGTGCTCCTGTGGCGTAAGGCTTAGCTGTCTTCTCCCCTTGTAAAACGCTGCGGGTCCTGCTGACAGGCTTTCCCGCCTTTGCAGTGTGCTGTTCAGATTGCTGTGTGCGTAACCTCCTCAGGTGTTTTGCAGGTTAGGTTGAGGAGGTGCAGTGGGCCAATCCACACAACCCCTGCTTTCCACTGACTAACAGTATCTCTTCCTCTCACCCCAGTTAGCTTACTTTCACGCATGAATGAAGTAATTATGCATAAAGGTATTAGCGAAGATGTGAAGCTGTAGTAGTAAACCATGTCTTTTTTAAAAAAAGGTATTGTTAACTTGTAATCATAATTTCAAAATAAGAAGTGAAAATGTGTTCCAGTATTACATCTTTGTAGCCCCCCTGCCAGTTTAGTTTAAAATCAGGGTTTTTTTAATTTTGTTTTTAAACTTGCTTGCTGCTATTTGCAGAACACCCGTGAAAGGGAGAATTGCAAGCTTCTGTAATCAAAGGATTGGCAAACTTGCAAAGTAAAGATTAGAAAACAATACACTCATGCTAGCAAGTAGATCTTTTCAGCAGACGTAAGGGGGCGGGGGGAAGTAACTGATGTTCCCTTAAGAAAAAACCACAAAACTAAAAAGTGTTACCAGTAAATGGAAGAATGGTATTTGGAATAAAGCAAACCTTACCTTTTATGCTTTGTAAGGATTAACTCATCTTTGAAAGTGTTCCAGAGATTGGGGACCTTCCCTACATAGCAAAGTAGACATTGTCATCGATAAAAGCCTGTAATTTAATTAAAAACTATAAGCTGACACAGTGTGTGTTCTTATTTGTATATTTAGCCACTATTAAGTAAAGTTTCTGTGCTGGATTGATTTTATTTGTAACTGTATATTGGAATACCATTGGAAAAATAAAGTAAAAAATTGTGTTTATTGCTGTATCACAGAATAGTCTGCTTGCTTTACAACTCTGAGTTCAGATTCATGGTATTTTGTTCAAAATTTCTTTTGACTAAAATATACCACTGTTCAGTGTTTTATGCTACAGAGATGTTAGATGGTCATTGAATACTTGACACTTGCTTGTTGCTGGGTGTTTGTTACTTTAAACAATGGAAGATTTTTACTGTGGTACATCTTTGGACAAAGTCAACCTATGGCCAATTCATTTTTATTTTTAAACAGTGAATTTATTGCAGAAGATGGTAATGAGAAGTTTTGGCAGTTCTTGGAAACTGTACGAGAATTAACAGTTTATAAGCAAGGAGGTAAGTTAAACAGCATGCTAGTTTTAATATATTATCTTGCACTGTATTTAACTTTTAAACATTAAGCTAACACGTTAACTAGTTCCAGTCAGGTAAAGCCTAACTCTTCCACTATTGCTTACTAGGTAGTTTTCTTTCAGAAAGTTGTAGCATATTTTCCCCTAGGAGCTCCACCTGTTAGGGGAGTTCTAAAAGCAAGGACGATGAGATGGACTGAAAAAAAATGCGGAACAGAAATGTAAAGGTGAAAGATACCTACCTTCTTATGTGACTCAGCAAGAACTTATAGGATATTTGGACCATGTTTTGTGTAAGATGGATGTTTGTAGGTGTCCTGGTTTCGGCTGGGGTAGAGTTAATTTTCTTCCTAGTAGCAGGCATAGTGCTGTGGTTTGGATTTAGTAGGAGAAGAATGTTGATAACACACTGATGTTTTAGTTGTTGCTAAGTACTGCTTGTGCTAGTCAAGGACTTTTCAGCTTCCCATGCTCTGCCAGGCGCACAAGAAGCTGGGAGGGGGCATAGCCAGAATGGTTGACCCAAACTGATTCCATTGATTCCATATGATTCCATACCATATGACGTCATGCTCAGTATATAAACTGGGGGGGGTTGGCTGGGGAGCAGCGATCACTGCTTGGGAACTGGCTGAGTATCGGTCAGCAGGTGGTGAGCAATTGCATTGTGCATCACTTGCTTTGTATATTATTATTATTATCATTATTATTATGTTGTTACTATTATCATTACCATTTTACTTTATTTCAATTATTAAACTGTTCTTATCTCAACCCAGGAGTGTTTCTCACTCTTACTCCTCCGATTCTCTCCCCCATCCCATCGGGGTAAAGGGAGTGAGCGAGCGGCTGTGTGATGCTTAGTTGCTGGCTGAGGTTAAGCCATGGCAGTAGGGGAGAGAATGCCACAAATAACTAAAATGAGAATTCTAGCTAAAGGAAAAAATGAAAAGAATGACCCAAAAAGGTTTGATACTTGTAGATGATGTAGAGACTTTTCTAGCAGTAATACTGGTGTGTTAGAATAAATGTTTATCACTGTCAAAATAGGATTAAAAAAACCTTGCATGATTAAACAGAAGAATATTAAGTTGTTAGAAATCTGGAGAGAACAATAAAGCCTAAAATCCAGCAAAGGAAGCATTAAAGTGAGTCACCCCAGAAGATACCTTAGAGAGTAGTTTACTAGAGATGACCATGGTAATGAAAAGCTTTGAAACCTACCAGGCCTTATAGCAGTTTGGTCAATATTAGACCTGCTTAGTAGGTCACTAGATGAACAAGGTGAAAAAAGCTTCAAAAGAAGGTAAGGCAGTTTCATTTTGCTCTTTAGTTCAGAATAGTACAGCTCTTTAGGCATGAGTGTGAGGACCTAACGCTACCACTAGAAGAGACTTCAGGTAAATTGAATGTTACATTAATAGTCAAAAGCTAAAAAATTGTGGAAAGGTCATGCAGGAAATGACAGAAATGTATCCTTGTTATGTGAAAAATGCTGTATATGGGAGGGAGAACTTCAGAAACAACACGCTTCAACAACTGTGACTGACTGAATACAAGTCAAAAACAGATTGCGATGTCCATGTAGATAGGTCAGTGAGAATGTTATTTGAGTGCTGAGCAATGCCCAAAGCAGCCAATGGACTTAAAAAATTACTAGGAAAGGAACAGGGACCCATGGGGTAAACAACATTTTGCTGCTTATGATTCCATGATGCGCTTTTGTGTTGAGTAAAGCATGATGTTCTACTTTACTGTCTCCCTGTATATTCCTCTTCATTTCCTTAGAAAGGATATAGTAGAAGCAGAAGATGTACAAAGAACTGTGATTATAATTGTGGGATATCAACTGGAGAGGGGGAAAAAAAAAAAATTACTGTGAGCTGATGGAAACTGGGGACGGTCTGAGGTCAGAAGTATAAACAAAACCAGAGAGAATTGCTGAGAAAAGTAGGCCCAGGTGGTGAATGCTGCTCAGAGCCATTCTATGTAAGGGCACGAGGAGATGGAAGATGGAAGTAGGTGCAGAATTTGACCTGTGGTCAGCTGCTAATAGCATTTGCTGAGGCAAGTACTGTTGACTAATGCTGTTTAAGGTCTTTGTCAAGGCACAGGACGGTGGCATGGGTTACACCTTCCACAAGGTCGAGGATGATACAAAACTAGGAGGGGAAGTTGAGAAGCTGGAGGGTAGGGCTTCTGTTAGAGGGGCCTTGGTGGGCTGGAGAGATGGACCAACAGAAACATTGGGAAGTTCAGCAAAGACGCTTTGCAGACTCCCGCACATGGGCTGGAATAATCTCAGCAGCAGCGCAATGTGGGCACTGACTGACTAGAAGGTGGTTTTGAGAAACAGACCTAGGGATTCTTGTCAACACCACTGACTTGCATTAAAGTCATGCCTGTGAAGACCAACTGTATGCTGGGCTGTGTTAGCAAGAGTGTAGCCAGCAGGTCAAGAAAGTGATTATTCCACTGTATGTGGCATTTGAGAGACCGCCTCTGGAGCACGGGGCCCAGTTTGGGGCTACCCATTACAAGAAAGGCATAGACATACTGGAGCAAGTCTATGGTTCACCACAGTGGCTGGGGCATGGAGCAGATTTCTGAGGAAAGGCTGAGAGAACTGGGTTATATTCAACCTGGAGAAGGATAAGGAGAGACCTCGAATCCTCAACTTCCTAATAGAAGGTGTAGAGAAGATGAAGCCAGACCCTTCATGAAGGTACACAGGAATATGAAAAAAAGCGATGGGCACAAGTTGAAACATGGACATTTTGGTTAGATATTAGGGAAATGTTTCTGCCATGGAGTTGGGTAAACACTGGAACAGGCTGCCCTGGGAGGCGGTGGAATGTCCATTCTTAGAGATACTCAAAACCGCTGCACGAGGCCCTGGGCAGCCTAATCTAGCATTGAAATTTCCTCTAAGTAAAAATTTGGGTGAGGTGACCTCCAGAAGTCGCTTTTGACTTGAATTAAATTTTTTTTTCTATGAGTGGTTTAGATGCAGCTGATGTTGCCTTGAGACAAGATTGATGTATTAGATGATGTGTCAGGGGGGTTTATCAGCTATCTCTTGTCTGCTTGCTTGGACCAACTTTCCTAGAAATTTGAAGCTTTAGTGACATTTACTATTAGTGACATAGATGCCTGTTGAAATTTACTGTTAGCTGCGTACTTTACCCATTTCACCTGGATAAACTCTGTGAGATTGAGAATAAATAAATTACCAGTAGGATGATCTGCATGGTCTATCTTGCCAATAAAGTATTAGGTGCCAGTAGCGGGGAATCTTGAGAATGAACTAAACTATTACTTAAATTGAGCATATTAAGCAATTGATGTGTATATGTTTGTTTATCATTATCGCCAACAAACTCCTATGTTCATAATGCAGGAAAATTTAAAGTTTTGGCACCAAGTGGTTTTCCTAAAAGTCAATTCATAGTTGGGGTAGTATTGTACAAGCAAATTAATGCTCTTTATGAACAGGATGAGAAGGAAAGATTCAGTTTTAGAGGAAAAGAAAGTGGTTATTAAATGACAAAATCACATCAGTATTGATTCTTCCCAGTTAAGAGTGTCTTACTGAAGTCAACACAATAAGTGTGAAATAGAAATATTATGAGCGTCATATGTATCCAGCAATAGTTAAGCCACTTTCAGTAGGGAAGTCTGCATTAGACATCTATGATAAAATGGTCATCTAGAGTGAAGAGTACTGATACTGAAATACTGGAATGGCACAGTTACTGAGAGGTGTGTAATAGCAGACCTCTGAGGAGAAGTCAGTTCTCTGGTGTCTGGTCTGGTCTTAGCTGTTGCATGTCAAGACACATTGACATAGAGGGATGTTCATGATGCATTAAGGCTGAAGTAACAATAACTGCTTGAACAAATTAAAGGATCAGGCTTAAGGGTTGGTTGGGGTGACTGACTTTCCAGTTCTGCTCTGGATGATATCAAGAGTAGATAGGATGGATAGCTGGGGAATAAAAGCATTTTTAAATAGAAACATTTTCATAGAAGGTAAAGAATTACTAGATTTGAAGCTGAAAAATTGGGTTTATAGGAGAATTGGATGATAGATTTGTATCCCAACCTACTGTTGAGTATTTCAGAAGAGTCATGAAGTGTTAAAGCTAAAAGGCAACTTAGAAAATCAAATATGGTGGCCTTTTTTTCTTTTAAATCATTCCTTGGATGATTTCCAATCTGTTGCTTATCAGTTCTCAAAACTTGTTATTTTAAATTTAGAATACTCACATCAATATCTGTTGTTAACTTGCTCATTTAAAATACGCAGCCTTAGCAAACTAGTTCTAGTAATGGGCTGTTTAGCTATGATGTATGTAGCAATTTAATGGATTTGGTAGGAGGAACGTACGTGGAATTTGGTAAAGCATTTAGTCTGGTCAATATATTTGGTTGTCTCAACATTTTCTTTAATATGAACTCAAATCAGTTTGGGCATCATTGAGATTGTACACTATAAAAAACATCAAGAAGTTAATGATGGGATACGCTATATTAAATTAGAGTGAGGTCTTTCAGGTAGCACGGGTGACATTGTGTATGTCTACTTAATATGCAACATACTTGCCACCAGGCTTGTGGAAGATTTGGAAATGCAGATGATGCTATTTTGGGCTGCATGTATATTATGAAGAAATCAAAGCTGCAAAATTTCATATTAAAAACAGCACAGTTACAAAACACTGACGATTGCATTTTAAACTTGCTGCTGCTTTTATATCTCAAAAGGTTAATTTAGGAACACAAAGTGAAGGTAAGTAGCCAGTTCCCTGCCGACTAATTATAACTTGAGTGTTTACTGTCTTCCCAAGTGGTTGTTTATATATTGAATTTTCAGCAGCCTCTTAAATATATATTTAAAAAAAAAAAAACCACCAAGCCACACAAACCTATTAATAGGGAAACTATTTTCTCAGGAAAAAATCTAACAGTATATTGCGTGTAAACCACAATCATGCAAATTATTTGTTGTAAACTGGAAAACTACACATTATTCACAATTAAATTAGAGAAGTATTTTTTTACGTGCTTATCCACCTTAAAGATTCAAGAGGAGTCAGTTTCACAAGCATGGTACTTATATAGTAATCATGCAATAACATAAATTATTCCCTCTCTACCGGCATCTTGCTTGAATGTCATAGGGATTTGACTGGCCAGTGATTGCTTGAAGTGCTGTTACCTGGGACCCCTAATTCCCTAGCTGATCTGCAGATAAAGATATACGCATCTATGCGGTTGCAACAATCCCTATAGTCTCATCCTTCAAAATAATGATCCCAGCACCCTGTGCTCTTCTGACTAATTATGTCCCTTATGTTTACTCTCTCTACCTCCTGTGCCTCAGTACTTTGAATTCTCCTGTGAGCCGCCAGCATATATTCAGATTAATTTTGTGCTGCGTGTACATGGGATCTGAGGAGCTGTGATATAGACCTCTACTTTAGTTTTGTGACCGTTCTGGTTGTCTTCCTTTAATTATTTTTAATCTACCTGTTATGTGAGATACTGCTGTAGATGCTGATAGTAAATGTTGATGTTTAAATATGAGTCTGCTTAGCTGGCTGTTCAGTTCTCATTGTAGTCAATCTAATCAATTTGGCTACAGGAGCTGGGAACTATTCAGCTGACAAATTTAGGCATCTTTAGAGTGAGCAAAATAGCTTTTCAGGTTTTGTTGGCTGCTAGGGTATATCTCTCTTGGCTAGAAAGGAAGTACAGATACGTAGCTCATACACATGCATTCAGATGTCTGAAATCTAGAGCTGTATCCTATTAATGTCTCATTTATTTTTAAATCAACTTTGTTAATGAATTTAGCAGTAATATGCTATCATGCAGCATTTTATGACCAGAAACATCTGTTTTTCCATGGTTCCCTGTAACATCCTAAGAAATTTATTATGACTTACACTCTTTGGCATAGAGTGCAGTGTTAAAATGTGTCTGGAGGGCAAGTAGTTATCAAGTTTAAAGGAGCAAATACTATGTGAAAATAGTTTGCAAAACTGAAACCATAGTTCTGTATGTAATAAACTTTAAAAAATGTTTTTGCATTAGGGGGATTGTATAGCATTGGATGTGTATTAATTTATCTTGCTGAAGTTTAAAGTACAGTTATAGTCTGAATGAAGCCAGCAGTGTTAATATAAGTTGAAGTAGTAGGATAAGTGGATGCACGATTTGATAAATGTAACCTTGTCAATGTTATACAATCATTTTTGAAGGCACATGACAAATTATCTTTTTTTTAACTTACTAAAATCATCATTGTCTTAATCATCTTTCAGAGCAAAAATGTCTGCTGTTTTATATACAGCAGTGAAAGCACAGCTGGAATTTGTAACCCAAAGTATTTGAAGATTTGTGGTAAAAATATTTTATTGAGGCGGTATCTTTAGAATTGTATATTTAATAACTCTTCATTGTGTTCAATAGGATGTTATTTGGGGCTGAGTGGAGAGGCAGAAATTTCAGATCAGATTTTTATTTTTGTGGAGATAATTTGAAGAAAATCTGAAAGTGTAGTTACTGGAAAGATGTTTCAATCTGGAAGTATTTACCACTTGCAGATTTTTTTAGTCACTACTTGGAATGTGTGAAGCCAAATTTCTCTCATTTGAGTTCTGCCAGGGCTATGTGTAGGTTTAGAAAACTTAGAAGAGATGGCGTTTTCGTCCACTGAATTTAATGTTAGATGGTAATGATTACATACAATTAATGGGAAGGCAGCTTTCTGGAAATGCAGATCATACCCTTTTGTAATCTTAGATCCCACCCCCCCAGTGAATTACAGCAAACTCAGCCTTTCTAAATAATGAGTTTTAAGAAGGAGGAAAAGGCAGAAAGGAGATCCTAGAGGCTTTAAGAACAAAAGAAGGTTAGAGGTTGTAAAGAGGAAAGTGAGAGGATAGGAAGTGCTTAGTTATGAAAATTGTGTACAGAACTTCTGGGAGCAGTTAATGGATATTTCCATTTCCAAAACTGTGGCCTGCAGGGCTATTGTATGTGGTCCAGTGTTTTGCTGGAACCTAGGCCATGGTGAGGGAATGGCATTTTGGTTGCTGCACTCATCATTTGATACGAGTACTTCTGAGATCTGCTGCAGCTGAGGCAAGTAAAATCTGGCAGGCTAAGTCATGTGAGAGGATTTTCACACTGTGTAAAAATTTGGTGCCACTGTGGACCCTTAAAGAGGTTTCCCACTGGGATGATTATTCCACTTTCACAGCAAGAACACCTTTTAAAATAAGGTGTTGACCTAAGAACACAGATAAATTCAAGCTGGACAGCTAGAAGGGTTCCTTCCTGCAACTCACTTTCCATTTGCTGCAAATTTTCACCTTTATAGGAGAATATTTGAATTACACGTGAAAAAGATCTTGAATCACTGTAGTTTCCAAGTAGTATCTATCAATGGAAGTAAAATACATGCTGACTACATAGATTATTTGGGGGGTGGCATAAATTGGCAATTCTGGACTGCTTCACACATTTCAGCTGTTCCTCCTGTGGAAGAACAGCCTCAAACAGTGATGGTGCATGATGCTTGGTATGGTCACAGCTTTGGTTGTCTGACTCTAACTTGTTTGTGTTCAAGAATATCATATAGTACAATGTATACAGTCTGATTTAAAATTTTGGTGAGCGTTATTCCTTAAACAGATACAGGTCTTTTTCACAACTTATAAAACAATATTACATCCTCTTTCTAATTAGGTTTCTTTGCCTCACAATCCAAAGACAGCATGAGAATATTCACTTGAATATGCCTCTAGAAGAAGAAATGAAGGTTAATTATTTCCAACCAATGTTCATTATTATCAATTCTGTTGTTCCCAGATACCATCCACCTTCTTTCTTACTTGGAGTCCTAATTTTGGCCTTGAGAAGGCGAGATGCAGGGAGGGGGGAAGCCACTTCACATATTGCATCCATTCTCATACTCTTGTTTATCATGTATCTTTAAGGACAAAATAGAATATGTGAGAATAGCTCAAAGAATGTCACCTTTAGAAGGTTTTTATTTATATAAGTTGCTAAGACTAAATGTGAGGAAATAATTTGTAAAATAGTGCTGGTTGAAAGTAAGTAACCTTCAAAATTTGCGTTAAAAGGCTAGCATAAGCTTGACAAATAGAAATAAATGAATGAGCTCTATTCAAGACTTTCCGTATGGGTCTGCAGAGAGACATTATTGTCTTGAGTGGATTTTTATATTGCTGAAAATGATCTAGATGTTAACTAATGCTATTGCACTCCCTTTTGTTATATTGATGTTGCATTAGGCCTTTAGAATTGGTAGTGAAGGAAACAATTATCAGTGGACAACATTCAAGACACTAATATTTGCCTATTATGTAGCACAGGTAGATATGCCACATCATTAATGGCTAAATACTAAAAGTTTGTCTTTTTTTTTTTTTCCCCCCCTTCAACAGATTCAGAACATTCCTATTACAATTTAATCTTGAAGAAAGCAGGACAGTTTTTATCTAATTTGCAAATCAATCTACTGAAGTTTGCACTTTCCATACGGGCATACTCTCCAACTGTTCAGATGTTTCAGCAGGTGACTATATTATCTGATCTATTTGGTACATGATTTTATGTGGCATTTTGGCTGCAGAGTAAAGAATGTTCATTATTACAGTTTGCTAAAATATATGCCAACATTATTTGGAGTCAAACATGATCCATTTATAAAGGTGATGCTTTATAAGCTGGTTAGATTGACAGGAACAAATATTCATGTTTAATTGTAAGGATAGCATTATTTTCAGGGTAGGATTTTTTGAATTGTTCATTTTTAAAACTGAGATTGTGGGGTTTTTTTGCATTACTTTAAATAATCCTATGGGAATTCAGACATTCCCAAAGTCGGAAATCTCCTGTGGCTTCAAGTCATTTATATTTGTTACTTAGCGGACTTCTCATCTCTTGTTATTTTAGTATTTGAAAAGTTGAAAGATAGAATAGTCAAATACCTGCTTTGTGGGTGGGACAGAAATTCACTGTGCTTCTAGCCTAAAACTGCTCCTCCTCCTTTTAGCAATGCCACCTTCAAGATAAAGTGAGAAATCCATGTTTCTGAAAGGTAATAAGCTGTAATAAAGTTAGGGTTTTCTGCAAGTGTTCTCTGGAGGAATATCGTAATCTCAGACTTATATCTTCTATTTATCCTTCAGCTTGTGAATCCAGAGTCATTGACATACAGTCATAGGATTCCCACTTTACATGGGAATAGCTGAATAGAGTTAAAAAAAAAAAAGGCAGGGGGAGGGAAGGAGAGAGAACCAAAAATTGACATTAATTGTTTGGGATTTATTGGTTAGCAGTCAAATCTTTGTACATTAACATGATTGCTGACAGTGACTAAAATTAAAAATATCTCAGAGTACAGGCTGTGATTTCAGCTTGTCGAAGAGATTTCTTAGCCCTCTTTTCACAGAACATAAATGGACTTGAATTTTCTGGAGTATGACTGCATTTGATAGACTATATCTCACAAAGGTTATAAGGTCTTAATCTTGTAATATTTTCCATTACTTTTTTTATATGTACCCGATTTTGAATGGGCTTAATTAGAAACACAACTCAATGGCAGCTGTTGAGTTATTTTAATCAAAGGGATGTGAGTTTAAGTTGAAGTGCAATCAAAGCATTCTGGTTGAGTATAATTGTTGAAATATTAGATTGCAGCTGATGAACCTCCACCAGAAGGCTGCAGTGCATTTGTGGTTATCCATGAGAAGCACACCTGTAAGACTAATGAAATAAAAAAGCTGCTGAAGAAGGCTACTAAGAGGTAAATGTAACGATCTGTTTTTAAGAGGAAAAATAGATTGCTAAAGAGGAAAATGTATTATTGCATATGTACTCATAGTATTTTGAAATTTTATGTTCTGCTTACTTGATAATGCCAAGCCCATAAATCCCTGTTTATTGGATATTTAAAGACATACCCATTTAAAGTATACATTATTTTAAAAGAGTTACTTTTGGTTTTGAAATATTTTAAACACTTGATGAATTTTCATAACAGTTTGAATCAAACTAGTGTTTTAAAAAGAAGTCATAGAGCTTTGCTCTTCAAACCACATGGATAATTATGTATTTCTTCCCTTTTTTTTTTGGTATGCAGTAGTAAAGTTTAAGTTACAGTGTATTTTCTATACAAGCTTACCATTTAATGCGTCTGAGACAGTACTTCTGATGACAGACCTCTCTGCGCAGTGAGTGCTGCTGTATTTGAGGTTTTCTGGATTGTAAGGGCTTGGCACAGGGGTGGAAGAGGAGTCTACCTCAGCTGGCATAACCTTTCCTCACCTGGTGCTAGACTTTGCACCTATCAAGCCTTTCTGCAGGCTTTGTTCTGTGGAAACTAGCATCAGTCCAGAATGAATTTGGGCCATGAAGTAAAATAATGTAGAACCTATCAAAATAACAAAGAATAACAAAATAATGAAAGCAAAATGTTTGATCTCTGTAAAAAAAAGAATTCATTTGTATTTTTTCCAAGACCTGTATGTAGCATTTTTTTGTTTGGTTGGTTTTTTCCTGCAATGGTGAAGGTCACCATAATATGCATTAGTATCCATACCCTCAGCCACTTAATGGAGATATGTGGAGCTGAAAGATTATTTAGTAGGGCATATTTCTTGGAATTTGTTTTCTATCAAATATAAATTGAAAAAAAAAAACCTTGAAAACCTATACATTTGTCTCTTCGGGAATGGTTGCTTCTGAAAACAAATTTGTGTTCTACATGTGTGGTTTATGGTATTTTCTAAGTCCATTGATAGAATTACAACCTACTCAGTCATTGTCTTTTACTCATTCAATAGCCAAAGTTTTTGCAAAAACACTTCACTGTCTAGTTTGCAATGTCCAATTTTTAACTATTACATTCTGCCTAACAAGTGTCTCTTACTTTCTTACATAAATTATTTGTACTATATTTTGGCTTTTAAAATGATGTTGAATTCTCCTGGTCATATATTAAGGCATCATGACACCTTAACGTTTTATCACAATGTCTGAATGTACTCCTCTTCTAAAGCAGTTAAGTGGATTCAGCACATTCTCCTTTCTGGAGATACTATCCCCAGATTTACAAGATTCTGGAAAAATCATGATACTAAACAATAGAATCCTGAAGTATTCAGAATCAAGAGAGTTAGACTTCTAGGAATCATTAACTTTAAGAACTCACAACAAAACTGTAGTTCTTGCTATTAAATTGTTCTTGTGTTTTGTATAGTTTTGTGTGCACCAGTCACATTACAACCTTCAGAGCTGCAGGGACAAAATCTTGATAAATTTCCTCTCCTTCTCCGCACCCCAAAAGTAGCTGAGTCACTCAAATATTTAGAGTTCCTGAAGCTAGACTTAGAAAAAAGGCATGTTCACCTTCAGGTAAATGTGTCCACTATTATTTCTTAGAGTTGTACTCTGGCTAGCAGATGCTTTTCACTTGTGCTGGAGATGTTTAGCCTAGGTGATACAGATAGGGCTGTGCTCCTGTTCTGCCTTTTCTATATAGTGAACAAATGATATGGGACAGTGTGCCATCTCACTGTTGGTTCCTCTAAACCAGTCATTCTTCTTCTCTGTGGCTTTTATGAAAAGAGATCTTTTTGTTTCATTGCTTCCTTTTTTATTTCAAACTGTTTTCCTTTGTGTTTCATTTTCTGTGTTTTGTCTGTCATGACTCTTTCACTTAAGCCAGGCCAACTTAAGCTAGGCTTCCAGTTGTGTCCTAAAGTTCCCCATATTGGATGAGGACACTAGAAATGTTCTATTTTTAGGGATGATAGTTTCAAATCTCACTGGAAGAGGAAGAAGAGGCTGCAGCATTATTTTGTGCAGATTCATCGGCTCAACCTGAGATCCTGGAAGTCTCAGGCACTTTGGACTCAGGAGAGCCCAAATAGTCTGCTTGTCAAGATCAAGGTTTTGCTTCTTCCAGTCCTTTATGCAGCAGCTAGCATGATTTGGTCTGTTGCACTTTCAGCCATGTTGAAACAGACTGCATGGCTCTAATGCAATGCTCAAGGGCTCTGGACATTTCAAAGGAGGATCTTCAGTGGTTCAGTGGTTGGGATTGCTTATCTTGCAAACTGTCCAAAACACAACACTAAGATTTCTGGGGCTGTTGCTGCCCAAAGCAGAAGCATTGGTGGGAGTCTCAAAACAATCAGTGCCTTAGAAGGTTTGTCAGTATGCATGTCTGCTGTTTTCTGTCCATCACATTCCGTCTGCATCCCTTCTTGGCAACTATCTAGTAGGCAAGCATATAGTTGCCTGTGCTACCCTAGTAATTGGTTAGCAAGTGCTGAAATCCACATCCGTGTATTTGTTTTTAACTTTTTTTTTAACTTTTTTTTTTGTCTGCCCAACTGTTGTTCCTTCCCTTTCAGGCAGCCTTGTCATGAGAAGCTCTTAAGGAAGGAAATAAATTAGCTGTCAGCTCTAAGAGCAAGAAAATCAATTACTACTCACAACTACTGTTCAATGTCAAAGAGAAACAGAGAACAGAGGCTTATCTTGGATTTACAAGGGCTGAATGCTTTAATTCTCCAATCCAAGGTCATTATGGTAGCCCTATGTGGTGTTACTTCACTGCAGCACTGAATTTTTTAGTGAAGCTTGGTCATTATAGTATAAAATGCTTCCTTTGAGACTGTCAGTGTTCAAGAAAGTCATGACAGCACTTTGTACCCACCTTTTGAGAACAGGAGTTGCTCTTCTGCTATACATAGGCAACTAGTTAAGAGGAGCTCCCTTGATTTATGTTTTCACCTCTCTATAAATGACTGTGGCAGTTCTTGTCTCTCTGGATATGAGAGGGAAGTTGCACAAGTCGCATCCTATATGTATGCTTTCATTGGAGCAATGTGGATCTGTTCTTGAACAAAGCTTCCTCATGCAAGAGTTGTTTCAGACTCCCCGATGACACCTACTTTGCCTGCCCTGTCCTGTGATGACAGTGGGAAAGCTTCCCTGGTGTTTCTGTGGCACATGGCTGCAGGTGCCCAAGTTAAGTCCCAAATCAGGCCCCTCCTTTTGTCTCTGCCTTACAAATGCGGTCTTTGATTGCATACCTACCAAGCTTAAATAGGATGTTGATGTTAAGGCCCTGAGTAACCTGATACAAATTGGCCCTGCTTTGAAGGAGGAATTGGAGCAAATGACCTCCAAAGGTCCTTTGCAGTATAAATTATTCTGTGATTTTTGTAACGAAGATATTCCTAAGCTTTGCATCACAGAAACCGTGGCATGTGGAGTTCTGCTCATACCTTTCCAGTATGACTTTTCAGTGAGCATCTAGTACACGCATTTCTGCAGTGCATGTTGGATTAGAGTTTCTCAGCTCGCCTTGGAGAGGTTTGTACTGGTCTTTCAAGTGTGACTATGCAAAGGCAACTTTAAAAAAGAAGTGCACTCATCAATAATTAGCACCTTGAGTATATTACTCAATCACATCCTCTATTACTTTTCCATCTTTCCCAGGTTTTATTCAAAAGATGTTTGCAGTCATCTAAGAAATCATTGCAGGTATAGAAAGCGTAACTCTTCTACAGTCATGGCTTTCAATGAGGAGGGTAGGTAGGCAGTCAAATTTTGTAAAATTAGCTAAATTAACAGAGCTTGATGGTGTTAAAGCACAACCCCAGTTAGTTTCCATGTGTGTTAGCAGCTTTCTCAAACTTCACTGAATATCCCTCTGCTACTCTGTTACTCACTGATTGCTCTGTACATCTCTAATAGATGTAATGCATCATTTAAATTAAAAGGTTCAAGCTGCAACTGATTGTTGCACAAAATCTCAGTGCTGTGCTTTTCATTTGCTCTTTGTGTTGTCATTTGATAAAATACATTAAAGTTATTTATAGTTGATGCTGATTTTTCACTGTCTTAGACTTCAGTTCGAAAATTTGGTGTTCTAAGTTAGTTTGTGAGCAATCATGATTATTTCGTGATGTTTTTAATATCGCTTGTATACTTTTAGCATATAAGCCCTTACTAGTGTTTTCAATTATGAAGTAGAGAAACTGCCACTGTTTTCATTTTTTTCTGAATGTATAATATCACAATTATTTGTTTTTAAAACCAGACCCAGGCCATATCTTTTTAAGGGAGATCATAAATTTCCAACTCTCAAAGAGGATGGCCCAGTGGTTGTTCTTTATGCAGAAGTGGGTACGAAAGACTTTGTCAGATTCCACAAGATTTTATCTGAGAAGGCACAAAAGGAGGAAATTGTTTATGTTCTACGGCATTATGTTCAGGTATGTAATTCAAATTAACATTGATTCAGTAAACTCTTCATTGTTTTTCTTGCTTTTTGACAAAACAAGTTTTCTACGTTTATTTTTGCATTTGCCTACATCATGTCCAATACATATTCTAATTTTAAAACTTTCTAGATTAAGTTAATTAATTAAGATTAACCTAATACAAACTTCAAAGATGGGAAAGCATGATAATACTATCTAATTCTGCATGCAAGTACTGTTTGCATCACCGATTGATCTTGAAATATCTCTTTTTTTGGTTGTATGTCTGGTTTCTGTACATTGTACAAAGATCTTGGGTGAATCTTGGTGCAGCAGACTGAACATATTCTTAACAAGAATTAGAAAAATGGGAGCTAGAGTAGAAAATCAATCACATAATTTTATATATTCTCAGTATAATCTCATATGTTGGTTGCAGTACAGCAGCATGGGCTATCAGAGTCAACATCACTGGTCAGTTTTTCAGTGTTGGCATTCCACAGTGTCAATATTTTAAGTATAACATTTCTGAATGCTTTTCTTAACTTACTCTTCCCCCTGAAGAAACAACAACGACAAATATCAGTACATGGAACTATATTGTCCCCAATTTTGGTTATTGGAAGCTTTTTGTAATTTATATTCAAAGTACAGTTGTTAAATAGCACAGCTAATACAAGAATAATCTGATGGAGCGAGAGGTTGCTGTGATTTATGTAGACCAGGCATTTCAGGGAGATGAGATCCACAGTTTGCAGATGACTTTGAATTACTTTGCTCACAGTAATGAAATAAAGAATTTGAGGAAACCAGTCTTAAATTCTGAGTTGTTTAGGGGTATAGTTTTTACTGAACTTTCTGTTCTTCTTTTATGCACTTTTTTCCCCAACTAAATACCTACAGTCTTTTTGCTCTGACATGCACCATGGTCCCCCCAAATGCCTGTTGTCTTCCTCTCTCTTCAGACTGCTCCTTTTCCTCCTTCCTCACAACATGCATTTTTATTCTTTGGTTCCCATTGAGGCGGATTCTCTGTCCTTCTTTGCATTAAATGCCAGAAGAGGGAGCATTGAGAGCAGAAGAGGTACAGTCTTTCTGCTGTCATGGGGTTTTTTGGCCAGTATTGCTGAGACTGTGTAGAGAGTCCAGTGCTCTCTGCATTGAGATTTGCTTAGAGGACCAACAGAGAACATCCCCAGCCCTGCTGGGTTTTAGTTGTGGGCTTGGAGGATTCTCAGTACAGAATGATTCTTAGAAATTGTAAGCTAAAGCTGAAAGGCTTTCAAGAATTGCTGCTGTGCATGTGCAAATTGCATTTTGGAAAGGGGATTTTCATACATTTTGGGCAAATTAGGGCACATTTTCAGAAATAAGTATGCTCTGAGTAATTACACTATTGAATGTCAAACTTCCACTCCAAAGTTAGAAACACTTCTTGTTCTTAATAAGTGGCAACCTGTTTTTACCAGTGATACCATACTACATTTTTTTAATCTTCCTTGCAGATAGTGATTAACTCTTTCATCAAAACTGTTTGAAAGAATCAACCTGATGCAGAAATAGAGAATTTCCTCCTAACATGCTGAAATCTGGCAAAATTACAAAGAAATTAACAACAGTTTAAAATGTGAATTGTAATAATTGTATAGGGTGCTACCAGCTCTGCCTGTTCTAGTCCTTCTTCCAGTATTATGTGAAGGGACTACAATTTTGACACAGCCTTTCTGTGGTGTGCAGGAGATAAAGGAAGTCCTAACTTTCTGTTACACACCTTCTGAATGGACTGTCAGTGTGCCTTACATGACTCTCATAATTTGTTTGGTGTAGTATTTTGTACTTTGAATCATAAATTAAAGGGGAAATTTAAGTTATGACTGTCATAACATTTTAAAGTTACAATATTAGATATTGTTAATCTCCTATAAATACAGTTTTTTAAGTTATATTTTTTGTTCTGTTAAAATAATATCCTCAAACAGAAACCAAGTTCCAGAAAAATGTATTTATCTGGATATGGTGTAGAACTTGCAATAAAGAGCACAGAATATAAAGCAGTAGATGACACACAGGTTAAAGGTATGTGGGTTTTTTTTTATTTATTTCTGATATCTCATTGGAGACACTATTGAAAGATGTTATAATCTTCAGTTATAAAGTCAGTAATATTTTGGAGGTTGCACTTAATTTCTTTTTACAGGAGGAAGTCTCAGGCATTAGGAACTAAGACATCAAACTCTATGTGAGCATTTGTACACAGCTGTGCTTAGGATATAGTTCATTACCTAACCTCTAATTGTTGTTTTCTGTGGATCTTCAAGACGTAACACATTCTTCTTCCTTTCAATAAGTATAAAATCGTTTAACCTTTGCTCTTCAATTACTTTATTTGTTGGCATCTCTAATATGATGATTACTACAGTATCTACACATTAGTGTTTCAGGGGTGAGGGGTTTTTTTATGAATTTATGTGGAAGTACTTTCACTATCTTCTGTAGGAAGGATGTGCTGTATCATAGAATTTGGCACCAGTGTACATTACTATGTGTTGAAATGAGGCATTTACCACAGAAAGTGGTAGCTATAGCATTCTGACAAAGAGAAATTGCTTTGAGTGGACATTTGCAGGATATAAAGAAAGTTAGTTAACTCTCTTTGGTAAGACTAAGGTTTAATAGCCTTTAAGTCACATCCAAAATAGTTTAATTTTTTTAACAGAAAGAAACTGATCTCTGACTTATGTGAAATGCTAGCTGGAGATTCAAGGGCTTTAAAGTCATCCTGCTTTTCAAGCATAAATTTGGTAGTAGTTGGCTGATAACAGTTATACCTCACCACTTAATCAAACAGAAATGGCTATTTTGGGTAGTGAACTATTTAAACATATCAATTTCATTTATATAAAAAACGTTACCATTGGATGAATTATATTTAAAAATTAATTTGAATGTTGCTAAGTTCTGTAAAGTGATTCATTCTGATTCCAAAATAGAAATGCGTAAGTATGAATCTAATTGAAATTATATCTGGGAACGACAACTTTCTGATTGTATGTTTCTGTTAACCTTTTTATAATTCATAAGAACATAATACATCAGTAACTTTCCTGGCTTATGTTGTCTACATGTCCTATGTGTTCAGGAGTGAATGACACAAAAGAAGAAGAGGAGGAGGAGGAGGAGGGGGAGGAAAGTGATGTCCAAGGATTTCTCTTTGGCAAATTAAAGTGAGTTGGTATAAGTTATAATTAAACTTCCGCATCTGTTTCTGGAACCTGAACCAAAATTAAAAAAAAAAAAAAATTATAGAAGTGAGATTTATGTTGGAAGTTACTTTATTTTCCACAGGTGAAAACGCTGATTAATGTGTTTGTGTATGTCTTGTGAATGTAAAGATGCAACAGTTGTTTATTCTGTTCATTTCAATTTATTGCTTTTAGTTTTTGAATTCTCTTAGAATGTATACAGTAAACTGTTTTTAAAGGAAAAAAACTCCCTCCGGGCAACAGTCACAAAAAGTTAGAACACCATGTTTTCATGTTTGTATCTACAGTAAATTGTTGCTGCTACTTCTGTTTTCAGATAATTAGAATCAAAATGTTGGTTTTCAAAATGCAAGTAGTAGCAGAACAAATCCAAACCCATGTGTTGTAGCTACATAAGGTGTATTTAAGATGGATAATCATTCATTTCTTAGAGTTAAGGAGTGGTATTTCTTGGAAGATATGCTTATTGTAAACATGGAATTCGTGCATTTGCGTTCTGTTCTAGCAGGAGCTCTTTTATCTCCACGTTACAATCTGTTAGATGAAAATGGATGCTTCCCTATTGAGGGCTCCTTGCAGTCCTCCATTGATGGATTCATTTCATGGTTGCAGTCATGCAAAGTGCTTCCCCTTTTCCTGTAACAGATCCATGCAATGAATCATAAATGCTGTGTTTTTTCTACAACAAGAAACTCAAGAGTGTGGGTCTTCTCTAGTGTCATTCTCTCATTATTTAAAGCAAAAAGTAAACTTGTTTGTAGATACTCTCACCAAGCTGTAAGTCATCTCAGAGTTTGGAGCTGCTAATGCTGTCTAAATTCTTGAGAGCCCATCCCCTTTCTGCCTTTTTTAAAGTAAACACATTGAGATAGAAGTGCACCCACATGGGCAGGCTTCCTTGTTGTTTCACTTATGTATTAGAGACCTTCCACAGCAGGTAATATCAAATGCTTATGTCATATCTTTATCTGAGCTTTTTGTCTTCTGGGATTGCACCAGGTTTAGCTATACTTGGGTTCTTGATGTTGCACTGTGACCAATTTGTGAAGCTGTCAGATAATTACTCAGACTTTTTGATGTTGTTTCTAGACTCATATTTTTTTCTTCTCCTTTTCATACTGGAGATGAGATGTTTCAGTAATCTGTAAATTGTCCCTCAGTTTTAGCCATGTCAAAGGTTATACTTTTCTCAGCTGTGAAATAGTTACGAATGTAAGCAGAATACATAAAATCCTAGAAATATAACTATTTGATTGTGCAAATTAACATAATTCAATCCCACATCATGATACGTATCCAGAGAAGGGTAGCTTTTTTTTCAGTTGGCTTTATGTGTGTTTGATTTTGTGCCTACATTGACCGTAGCATAAGTGAACAAGACAAATGAGGGACCAAGCATCAATAATAGATCTCAGATGTGGCTTGTGGCTAGGTCTTATTTGTCAGTTGTCTTCCATTCACAGAAGAATTGATGGTCTGAACGGAAAAAAAAATACGTATATCATCAAGGTAAATTTGCAAAGAAGGCAGTAAAAACAGTAATTAAAGAGCTCAATACTAGTTAAGAGTTTGCTACTTCATAGAGGGATTTCTAAAAGTACGAACTATGTTTGTAATTTCTAGGTCTATGTTAAAAGTAAGAAAAAAAGGAATTTTCTGTCTTTGCTTCCCTTTTCAGCTGAGTATGCTTTCTTTGAGGAACCTGGACTATATTTTAATTCCAGAACATCAGTTTCATCAGTGATATTTTTCTTTTTCTATAAAGAACCATGGTTAATATCATGCAACAGCTGAAAAATGAGGAGGGAGGGATTCCTTGTGAAACTTCTTAATATCTAAAATAAAATACGAAACATTACAGAACTTAAAGTCTTAATGCTTTTGATGTCTGTTTTTTAGCTACTTTTTTCTTCTTGTTCAATACTTCTAAGAGAAGAATTTTTAGAAATGTGATGGAGATTGTTTGACATTCAAGGGTGTCTTGTAGCAGGCTGAAGTCTTTGCCCTCAAAACTTCTTGGCCCAATTATGTTTTCAAAAAAAAATAGCCACGCTTTTGGGCACCATGCTCTTCTTCAGGTCTAACTAGTGATTTGTGTGCTCAGTACCATGATTTCGTAAGTGATGTTGATTTATAAAAGATGTTCTCAACATTGTCTTGCCTGTGTCTTTTGTAGGTAATACAACAAACTCTGTGTACAGTTACAGTTAATCTATAGTACAGTTAGTATGCAGTTAGGTATACATTATGCTATAGTGAATTAACTATACAGTTACCTGTATTGTGTATTAATACTATTTAATCTTTGAGTTCATTTATTGCATCAAAATTTATGTGACAGGGTTTGAGACAGATCACTACAAAACAATTGAACTCCTTCTTGTAAGTAACTGGTTTTTAGTCCTCAGAAATCACTTCTTCTCACCCCAAATCCTCATTTTTGTTTTAAGAATGAATTAAAATTTCAAATCTTGCTTGTTACCCTAAAGATACAGTATTAGCTGTGAGCAATACTGTGGATAAAAGCAGATATTGATGGATGTCATTGATTTTGCCTTTTTAAAAAATAATATTTTCTTGTAGACAGATGCATCCTGATCTGAAAAATAATCTGAAAGAGTTTAAAAAACATCTAGTTGAAACTACTAACAACATGGAACCACTGAAGGTTTGGGAGCTACAGGGTATGTATTGCATTTTTCTGAATTAACACAGTACTCTTTAATTTTCCTTTGTTATGCTGATGTATCAATATTGTGATAGAGAGACATGATTTCATAAAAAGGCAGTATTATATCAAGTATTTAAAAAGAATGTGTTGGTATCTTGTTCTAGTATTATATGCTAGAAATTAAAGGAGCATTGAAGTAATTTTATAAGATGGAGAATCATAACTAGCTTTACTCATTTTAAAGGCAGAAGTTACATTGCCTGGTTTTCTGCCTGATGTCTTATCTCAGATGTTAAATTTAGTTTCAGATATTTTTTTGAGAGGTCAGGCAAAAAATACCATTTTGATACAACTATTGAGTTGGGACAAAATATAGGTTAAGACAGTTTGTTTAGTTTATAAATTCTAACTTTTACCAGTGTACTGGAGTTCACGTTGATACATTTTTTTAATATAACATCAAATAGAAGAACATGCTTTTAAAAGCTTTCCTGTGGAAAAGGAGAACAAATATGTAGAAGTTGATTTCTAATCAGCTTCTGTGCAGATGACCTGTAGGACATTCTGTAGCATAAATGGAATTATAAATCACTCTAAAATAGGCCCCTAAAATGTCATGACACTCAAGTTTAGGCAACTAAATTTTGCCTGTTACATTCTTCAGTGTTAGAGGACAACCTGATCAAAACTGATTTGCCTTTATACTAGTGCAATGAAGGAGTCTGAGCAACCATCTGAACTTCAGTTTCTTTTGACTGTTATGGAGCTTGCTAGCAGCATCCAGTCTGAAACTATTTGAGATAACTGCAGTTCACTTGCAGTCTTTTATCAATGAAGTCCCCTTCAGCTGCAGGATTTATCTTGGTCCAAAATTTTAAAAAATTGAAAAACATTACATTTCAGTTCTCCTGAGAAATCTACTGTGCAAATAAAAAGAAAATTCTCTTTTTTGTCTATTTAATTTTTTTTTTTATGTGATTGAATAGCGGTCTGTTGAAACTTTGATCCCTTTAGTGTCTACCTTCAAAAGCCAGAACAAGGTCTCTCTTTTTTGGTGGTCTCTTCTGCGGTCTCATGACTTATATAAATGAAAAATTAAATTGGTGCTGCTCCCCAGGCAACCAGTTCATACAGTGTTGAAAGTAGTTAAGCGTTGGGATGCTGTTTGTCCAGTGCCAGGAAGACTGGTACTGGCTTGTGATAAGTATATTCAGGGCCTTTTCAGACAGGGGCTCTCCAGCCCCTCTTTGTATGGTGCAGTTGTTTTGGTACTCGTACTCCTGACGTGACTGGGTGCTTTCTCTAGTTCATTCTTAATGACTAACTACAGTGGCTGAGTTAATGGCTCAGCTACTCTCTGATTTCCTTTAATTAGCTTCCAAGTAAAAATTTAACTAAATTTAACCAAAACTCCTTCAGCTATAGGGCATACTTCTATTTATAAATTACCTTAAACGCCATTCAAGAGTTGTCTTTCAAGAGCCTTTATGTTTTAGGTAAGTAATTAGGTTTACTGTTCATAGTGAAAAATGGTGCACAGAGTACCAGTGTGGTATTCCCTTTAATAACTCATTCTTTTATCTGTGTGAACTGCCGCTTGATCTCTAGTGCTTTGTTAGTTTTCAAAGCATACATTGAGATCTGCTTTAAGCTTAGGATCATCTTTTCCTCAAGGTGCCCTACACTGTTCTCTCAGCAAAGGGAGCTCTGTAAGTGACAGTCCCTGACCAGAGATAACCAGGAAGGTAAAAAGACACGTCAGTTTGCCTCAGTGGGATTTGAATATTCGTACTCTAGCTGTTCAGCATAAAATGGAAATAATTAATAATTTGTGAAAGATTTTGAATCCTGAGCGCACAGCAGGTAAGGCATTGCTGTCTGTAATAAGAGCAGCAATTGGGTATTTCGTCACCTGATCACAGCTTATGTGGCTGTTGAAAGGGATCTGAAACATTCTTTTAAAAAAGTGATCTCTTTATACTTTTTGTTAAAAGTATTAAGAAATACCAAGTTAATACTCCACCTCTCAGACTCACCTTTTTTTCCAGCCAAGATGTACTTTATCAGGCTAATCTAGGAATGTATGCTATTCACTTTGTTTCATTTTTCTTCAGCCTTTTTTTTTTTTTTTAATTCCTAATTGCTCCAAAAAGATGGTGTGAAGTTCTACTAGGCAGCATCTTCTATAACTTTCTGCCCAGCACTTTTTACTATATGTGGCATCAGCTTCCCTCAAACTGAATAACACGAGGCCTTCAGTTTCTGCTCAAATGTCTTAACTAGCAGATTATGAGGAAAAAGTGTCATTGCCCTGAGGTAGTTAGGCAGATTGTACCCAAAGTACATGGAAGCACCTAGTGTATTTGTTGCCTTACCCTGTTGGTACCAAATTTGGATTTTCCCCGGTCTCGTGCCAAGATTTGTCACTCCCAAGTTAGGCACCAGAGAGGCTAAATCAATTCCATTGTTGTTCTTCCAGTGGATAGGCAAATGAATTATAAACTGTCCTGATATATGAAAATTTACTAAACTCTGAAAAAATACCTAGAGAAAAAAAATGAGATCCCTTTAAAAACTGTGCTAGACACTTAGGAGAACTGAAATTTGACAGTAGATTGGCCTTTCTTTCGTGAGTCTCTGATTTCTCTTCCTGTAAAATTGCTGCTACCCTTGAAAATTGTACACCTCACAGGTTCAATACAGCCTGCTACATTTCATATATCTGTTTGCTGAAAATCTTGTGAAGTCCTGGAGCTGGAAAGATCTTATTCTTTACTGCAGTTATGGGTGTCTGTGGGTTGGTCTGTATCTAGGTTTGAGCATGATACCCTTGTAATACTGGCATAATGCCACGTGATGAATTGTCTGGTTTTTTCAGTGTGTTATTGTAAACTTAGAAATTACATGTACAATATGTATGCTCAAGACAGCACAGCAGAATTCTGTAGGAAAGCCTGAATTTGGTATTTCCAACTTTTAAGTGCCCATCTTTTCGACCTTAATAATGTTACTTCATAATTTTTTATAATGTATAATTGAAACATAAAAAATATGAATAGTGAAAGTGTGCATGCAGAACAGTTTTCTGATTGTAAGCAGTATTGATTGAGAGTGTTATTTCCAGTGATTTTTTTTTTTTTTTTGCCCCCGCTAGATCTTAGTTTTCAAGCAGCTGCTCGAATTATGTCTACCCCTGTTTATGATGCCTTAAAGGTAATGAAAGACATAGCTCAGAACTTCCCAATAAGAGCCAGGTATGATACTTAAGCTTGTTTTTCAAATACTGTTTTTATGTTTGAATTTGAATTTAATGACAGTAATACAGATTTATGTACAAATCCTGCAGTCATATAGTCATGTTTTTCCGCTTGCTAGATGGATTCCAGGCAGTTGCATCGAGTAGAAAGTAACTCCTGGGAGAGCTCATGATCGCTTTCTGAAATGTTTCCTGTCTGGTGCAGGAGATGCCATGAAGGCATCCTAATCCTTCAGGCACTTATGGTTGAATGCCTCCCAGCTTTTACTGGAATTGTATTTTCCCAGGTGGAAAATTCTGTTGAATGAATAGCGGATCTACTCACAGTAGGAAGAGGCAAAATTCTATTAATAAATTTTGTAGAGGATCTACCCGCACTGGTTCTAAGCACAACATTGCTGAAAAGATTGGGCCCTGGCTACTGTATGTTAGTGTCCTTACTGGGGAAGATCTGTCTCCCATAACAGATTACTTCATAAAAGATCAAGATAAATATTAAATAAATTAATAATGTTTTCCTCTGTACTAATATTAAAAATTGTTCTTCCTGTAAGCCAATTGTATTGTAATTGAGAAAAGCATTTCTTTATATTTAGTAAGTTCTTCATGTAATCCTATCAGCAATATTTGCTTGAATTACTGAATTAAATATGATGCTAAATGGGATTCTTAACTCAGTGTGCTTCACATTTTACAACTCTTGTTTAATTATCACAGTGTTTCATTGTCATCTCTGATTTTCTGTTAGAGGAAATCTACACTGTAATAGAAAAACTACCTTTGTAACATCTTGTTTCAAGGAAGAAAAATAACTTTTAAAATGCCTGAAATACCGTGTAGTTGTGGCATTAGAGCACAATTTACCTGCTCTTCAAACATTTTATTTTTATGGGTAAAAGTATAAGAAGACTTTAGAGTTATTAAAAGGTGAATTGCAGTTCCTGTCCTGTATGATTTATTCTAATATGCTAATCTAGCATGTTATTTTTAATATGAGAGATTAGAAATATTTAAATAATTTAAAGTTAGTAGGTCTACATTGACATCAAACTTAAATCAAAGGGGCATTGTGTCAAAGAAGTGCACAAAATATATTTCCTTAATAGTCTAATCATGCTTAACCTGCTGAGTCAAAAAATACTAGTTTGGAAAACAAAACCCTAGAATAAGCAGGAAATAAAAAGATACTGCTTAATCACTTCAGATAACTGATCATTATAATAGTAATATTTTAAAATTGTTTAAATTTCACACAGATATGAAAACAACCATTTTTTAATTATGCAAATTTTGGTTTGAAAAGGCTGTATAAAAATTTTAGAACTATAGTTATGAAAAAAAAAAATTAAATATTATATGTTCCTTAAAAATGGAGGGGTTCCTTACACCATAAAAAATAAATACACCGTTCCTCTGGAACTTTCTTTCACTTCCTAGTTTATAACCTGCATTTTTGTGTCTCAGTGTTTCCCATTGAAATGGTTAGTCTGAGGTAGATTTTAGAAAATGTCATCAGATGTAGAGAATGTAACAACTGATATATGTCATGGCAACGTTTTGGTAATTCATTTTATAGGGTATTTTTCATCTTTGTTTTGTTGTATACATGTCATAATTATCTGTTATTTAAGAATGCTGTAATAAGAATTATAATACTCTGTTTCTTGCTATTAATTTATCATTCATGAATGTTAACATTATGAATATGTGAAAAGTTTCCTTTTTTCCCCTGATATGCAGTACTACATAGCTACATGTTCTTCCAGGTAAGAATAAAGATGCATAAAATTATATGACAGAAAATATTACAACCTTAAGGTCATACAAGAATATTTCTGCATCATGTAGAATGATAAATAGTATCCATTTACTTTCAGACAGTAAAGTGTTTCTCTTTAGTGAGTCCTTGACACTTAATATTTAGAAAAATATGCATAAAACTTTGTGAAGCTCTGAACAAATTGAACAAATGAGTGAACTCAAAATGAATGCATATCTTTCACAGGTACTTTTACACTTGTTACCTCAAATTCCTAGGGTGTCCTTCTCAAGGATCGACCATCACACTTTCTCCTTGCTAGAATCCTGCATCATCAACTGCCGTGTATAGACAAGGAGCTAGTTAACGATTCTTTAATGTATTGCTTTCTTATTAACAAAAAAGCTATCAGTAAAGCTTACCTTTTGCTGATACGTATTTTACTTCCTTGCTAATGTTCTCCTTTCTGCTTTTTTATTATTTTCACATTCTTTTTTTTATGTTTCTGCCTTATTACTCTAAGCTATTTGGAAAGATTTAGGTTGTACTTTTTATCTGTGCAATTTTGATCACCTGTGTATGCAGAATGAAGCATTGATTCCGAGAGTTGCAGGCCCTACTACTATTTATGTTGAGTTTAGCAAGATAAAAATCAGAGCTTTTTTTTCCCTAAAGTATTTTTTTCTTCAGGACTCTCTAAAACTATTGCTATGAAGTCAGAATAATAGTTGTGGTAGTACTGCCACACATTAAATTTCCACCTTGCTATGGAGCCCTTCTGTTAAGTAGCTGTTTTGCTTGTTGGCTAAGTAAATTCTCAGTAATAATTCCCATCAATTACAGATGTTCTTTGAATGAGAAAAGTTCTGTAGTGTTCCTGAATTATGTCTGTTGCTGGTAGAAGGTAGCTTAAAGCAGTGTCCTACATAGTCAGCTTTCGAGACTTCTGACTTGATAGTGTTTTTTCCTAATCCTTCTCCATTTTTCCAAATTTAAATTTGGCTGCAGGTATTCTTTTCTTTGGACTTACAGTTTCTTTTATTTTTTTTAAAATCTTAATCAGCAGTCTTTATTTTTCAACAGAAATGTTTCTTGGTTTCTGTTCTACAATTTTTATTTCAAAACGAGTGAACGCAGAAAGTAGTGCAGTATGACACATTTATTCAGTATTGAATACACTTACTACATTTTTTATGTGCATAGAGAGTACCTAGCAGTATGATTATGAAAGCTTTATGAGAAAGAGTTTAGATTAGTTAAACAATAATAAGCAAGTCATTAAGCTCATCCTCCAATGACTACTGATAATAATATATTTGAATCATGTTGACTGTTTTTTAGTGCTGGCTTTGACATCACAGTTTGAGTAACACTTTTCTCATTTTGAGCCAAGGAAAGCCCACCAAGTATGGGCTGGTATAAATACAGCTCCTTCTTGATCCTCTTTTGCCCTTTCATCACGTGGCCCAGAAGGGATTCATGGTGACAAAAATAATCTGCCAGAATATTTAGAGGGGGTGAATGGAAAAAGGGTATTTAGCTGTGATGAATTGTGTAATATTTATAAACAAAGCTTGGAAATCATATTGTTTGCCCTTAACAAGTAGTCTCTTTGATCACCTGGAAAGCTTGAATATTTGTTTAAAGTAAACTGATTTTGTGTCTTATTTCTGACATATTCTGAAAAATGTGGTATTTACTAGCAAGATCTATTCTAAATCAGTTTCTTTTGGGGGGAGGGGAGTTGAGGATTTATACTATTAAATAACAGCTTTATTATCCATAAGTATTTAAGTTGGCTTAGTAGAATCATTCTCAGTTTTAGTTAACTTTCAGGTTTAAGATGACTCCACTTTTTCTTAAAGCACCATACAGATTTGCTAAAACATGTGCAATCATGTTTTGAAGAAAATATTTATGTAGGCAACTACAGTATTTGTTTTGGCATTTATTGGGAGAATCAGGTTTAGGTTAATGTGGTTTAGGGTTTCTTAAAACATGGAGAGATTAATTTGCCTTTGGCAGTATTTTATGATAGCCTAGTAATTATAAACCTCACATACAATACATTGTGGTAGATGTTCTTGAAATGTTCTTGAAACATTTCAATGTTCTTGAAAGGCAAAAAAAGGCAATGTTCTTGAAAGGCAAAAAAAATCAATGGATTATCTTCTAAAGGTAGAATAAGTAAGGAAACTAAAATTTTGACTGTCTGTAAATACTTAACATTTCCAAGGGTCTCAATCTGTAAATCTCTTTTCTAATCTCAGCTAATTTTGAAGTGGTCATTCTTTGCATATTGTCCTTCTCTTTGGCCAAAACATCGAGTTGTATCCTTGGCCGCCTGCGCTGTAATGTTGCGTAGCATGGAGTTAGTAACATTAACTTAAAATATACAAATATGACATTTATTTAGGTAATAATTTAGATGATTAAACAACTTTTTTATAATATACATGCTATTTTCCAGAAAAAAACAAAGAGGAAAGCGTGAGAGAGA